TCCACCTTCATAACTGCAGGCTGAGGGGAATTTAACACCTGGCTGCCCTTTGCTTGTGCCTTTGAGCAAAGAATCAGAAGGTTCTGCTGCTTTCAAAGAGTCAATGTTTGACCACGTCAATGACTCCAACTGAGAAGCAGCTCCTGCATTTAGTTTACTTTTACTGAAACAAACAAACAAACAAACAAACAAACAAACAAACCCACAGACGTCAGAAACGACTGAAGGTGCAAAGTCCAGCGTCAGGAACTGGTGAATAAAACTCATGAGAAGTTTCCACAACGTGAACTGAATGTGTCAGAAGCTCCAGACTCTCGTGAGAACGTTCCCTAAATGCCTCCAGAACATTTCTGAAGTGTCTCCACAATGTCCCCAAAACATCTCCAAAATGTCTCCACTCCTCAACGTCTCAAGAAGGTCTGCAGAACCGTCCCGGGGTTCTCGTCTCCCTCGTGAGCCTCAGAGCTGTGGAGCTCCATCGTTGAAGGTTTCAGCGTTTTCAAAAATTTGTGAGACAACTTTAAATTGTCCAAATTATCACCAAGTCGTCGTAGGAGGACAACTGTCCAGCTGTCTCCTGAGAGCTCTGTCTCAGACAACGTCCTGCTGAGGCACGGCAGCTTCTTCAGCCCAGATGAAATCTCCAAGAGAAACATTAAGAGCACTCAGAACATGGTAAATCAGCAGCAGCTGACGCCCCCGGTGCCTGCAGAGGATGCACCACCCTCGAGGATCCATCCCATCCAGACCTTGAACCCTCCAGAACGTGAGAAGGTCAGTGAAAACTCTCACTGCAAGATTTATGAACCATTTCTGTCCCACAGCCATTACTGCACTGACCTCTGACCTGAAGCCCCCCAGCACCTGCAGAACATCTCTGAAGATCGAACATCACCATTAAAGCAGCGCACGTGTGGCAGCTCTCTACAGCCTCCAGGAACATGTTCACCATGTGGACCTTCACCCCGACATGATGTTCTTCTCATTTTAAAATTGACTTCATGTGAATCCATTTGTTTGTGGATGTGCATCAGTTGTGCAATGATCGATTTTTGAAAAGGTGTACGAGGTTTTCTCTAATTTTCCCCAGAAAGAATTAGTTTTACCCGTTTTAATTCTTAGCAGTCGAATCACACAATCTGAGATGCTTCAGAGATTATAAATTATCTGCAGCTTTGTTAACGAGTGTCAGAGCAGACTGGCTGTGGATTTTACTGACAGGAGGCGTTGAGTTTAGAACATTCTGGTATAGACAATTACATATACA